TGCAATTCCATGTCCTGCTCTTGAGTCAGCGTCCCTCTGACCTTGGCAGCAGCTTTCAATCAGGGGTTGGTATTTGGGAGTATTTATTTATTAAATGTTTGTAAGGGCAGACAGAATAAACAACCATAGCACTGCAGAACTACAATGTCATCAGTGAGGTCATTTTGTGGCATTTGTGTGCTGTGCTTTGTCGGTGCCTTATGAAGACTGGGACTCCGTTCTGTGCCACTGAAAGTCCATCAGTCATTGGGTTGCACCCAGGAATGTTGAGGAAGCTGCTGATGTCCTGGAACGTTCACTGTGTTATAGCTTGGAAATGTCACAGTGCCTGGGATTGCCTGAAGGATTAAAGAGACCTTGTGACATTCTGCCTTGAATGCAATGAAGGGAGAACATCTGGAAAAGGAGAGGCTGTTTGGGCCGAACTTGTTCCAGTGTTATTGCCCTTTTGGAATCCTCAACTGTACCTGATAACGTACTCTGTCATTTAAATTGTATTCCTTGACCTCATTAAGAAACCCATTAAACAAACAAGAAACGGGTGCCCAGGCAGGTCTGTGACATCAGTCGTCTTATTCCACATTAAGGTCATATGGTTTCATAATTTGTATCCTTTAAGGCTTAACATTGTGTTCCCGTGAGCAAAACCCAATAATTACTAGCTCTGGTCAGCAACATCATCTTTCTTTCCCTGTCATGGTGCAGGTGTTTGTTTTTGGAATTCTGTTATTCCATGTCCTTCTCTTGAGTCTGTGTCCATCTGACCTTGGCAGCAGCTTTTAACTGTGATTATTAGAGGTTAAAAACTGGTGTTGATGGTGCATGTCAGGGTGGGGTGAAGACATTCCCAAAGCTTGGGAGAGGTGGGGTGGCATCACTGATGTCACCCTGGGATACTGGTGTGCTGTGATTTTTGTGTGTGGGGTGAAGAGGGGCCCCATTCCCTGCCAGCCATGTCAGGCTGGTCTGGCTTTGCAGATGTTCTGGGGCTGAGGGGCTGCTCCTTCCAGTGCATTCCTGCCAGCCATGTCAGGCTGGTCTGAGCTTTGCAGGTGTTCTGGGGCTGAGGGGCTGCTCCTTCCACTGCATTCCTGCCTGCCTTGGCTCCATCTCTCCTGCCCAGTCTATATGCCAGGCCTTTCTCGATGGAGATGGGAAATCAATTTCTGAGATTTATGAAGGTCACCCAAACTCCCCAAAGTCCAGTGCTGGTTGATCCATAGCAGTCGTCTCAGCTGGGCCCAGCAAGGTCACTCTATGGGGTCACAGTGCCAGGTTCTGACTGACACATGGAAAGGAAAGCAGCTGAAGGATAAGGAGAACAAGACAGGTGAGGAGAAGCTAAAAAAACAGGGATATTCAATTTTCAGAGGAAGAAGATTGACCTTATTGCTTTCTGAAATTGTCAGAATGGAAATTTTTTAACACCAGTCTTGTCTCCCTTTCACCAAGCTGTGGAGAAGAGGGAATGAATTTTAGTTTCCCTAGTGGAGGTTTAGTTTCCTATTAGGGAAATTTACTTCACAAAAATTCAGGGCAACCAACATACTGAAAGGGCTGGAGAATCTGTCATAGAAGAGAGGCTGGGAGAGCTGGGACTTCCAGGAGACAAGGATGGACAGCGGGGTGTCGTCAATGTATGAAAATCCCAGATGGTAGGGAATGAAGTCAAGGGAGTCCATTTATCCACAGTGGTGCAACCATGCAGGAAAAGAGGGCAAAGACACAGGTGAAAACAGATGCAATTCAATGGGCAAAGAAGGGAAAAATTTTTCAATGTGAGGGTGGACAGAGAGTGGAAGACATGGTGGGGTCTCTGTCCTAGGAGAGCCAAACCTGAACTGTCCATGGTTCTGGAAATCCCACACTTGTTAGTCTTTCTTGAGCAGAGGGGAACAAAGCACTTGCATCCCAGAGTTCCTGGCCAAGTGGATGATTTTGTGACTCTGCTGTGAGGGTTCGAGTTCTGCTGGGAAGAGAGTTTGTCAAGTATGTGCTGGCACGGAGACACTCTATCAGAGCTGTGCTCAGGAGACCATCAAAGTGACAAAAGATTTTGGTGTAGTAGGTGATGGGCTTATGCCATGTTCTGGAGAGTCCTCCCAATCCTTTGCTTCCTGTGCCAGTCTTGGTTGTTAATGGTGGTGACATATTTACTAAGAAATGTGTTGTGCCCCTTTTCCGTTCACCCCAATGCGCTGTCTGACACTGTGTGAGGTGAAGATGTGACACCACTGGAATTTGCAAAGATGAGGAGACACGTCAGGCTCGGATGCAGGAAAACTTTATTTATTAATTAAAAAGAATTAAAAGGCAGGAGAAAGAAGTGGAAGTGATCCAGTGTGAAGTGCAAGTAGAAAGATCATCAGCCGAGGTGCTTTGCTGCAGAAGCTGATGCCAGAACCCTAAGGTGGTGCCTTTAGCAGATGTAGCCGCCCCTTCTGCCATAGCAGCCCAGCCCATAGCCAAATCCACGTCCATAGCCAAAGCCGTAGCCAAAGCCACCAAATCCGCCAGAGATGGGCTGTCCCTGCACACTGAGCTCAGTGCCCACGGCAGCCGAGGAGGTGGATCCGACAGCGGTGTTCTGGGGGAAGGAGGTCATGATGGGTCCTGGCAGGGTGACCAGCACAGGGGAAGGGTTGATGATGACGTGGGAATCCTGGCATTGCAGGGCACAGGGCTCGTTGCAGCTGTTGGCCAGCGGGGTGGGTCCGCAGGGACTGCAGATGTTGTTGCAGGCCATGGGGGTGGTGTGGAGGGTGCCTGGAAGAGAGAGGGATGAGGCAGGGCAGGAGTGTGGGGATCTGAGGGGTGAAGAAGTGTGGATGCTGTTGTGGGGGTGTGGAGGCTGGGACCAAGCATGCTGGAAGAGAGGGATCAGGGGTGCAGGAGCAGGAGGGGGGCTCAGGGGCTTGAGGCTCACCTGGTAGTCTGCAGGAGCAGGAGAAGGCTTGAGGAGAAGTGTGTGAGGGAGAGAGGCCCTGGGCCAGCTTTTATGCTGCTCCTGGAAGGGTGGGACAGCCTTGTCCCATGGCCCTGGGGCATTTTGGAGGTAGCAGGTTCTGCCAGGCCCAGCCTGGTGAGTCATGATGTGAGATGTGTTTTCTTCCCCACAACTCTGCTGTGTCATGTCCTTTACAGACACCATGCCCATCTGATCTTAGCAGGTTCTTTAAAGTGAGAGTTGGTATTTGGGAGCATTGGCATGGAAAATGTGTGTCAGAGAAACCAGAATATGAAAAAAAAAGCCTTGGAAAACAATGGGTGTCATCAGTGAGGTCATTTTGTGGCACTTGTGTAGTTTAATTTGTGGGTGTGTTGTGAAGATGGCCTCCATTCCCTCCCAGCCCTTTCTGGCTGGTGTGAGATTTGCAGCTGTACTGTGCATGAGGAACTGCCCCTTCCATCACAGTCATTCCTCCTTTAAATTTTCAGTATTTGAGACCAAAGGCTGGTGTTGATGGTACGTGTCAAAGGGGACTGAAGACGATAGCAATATTTTGTAGATGTGTGTGTCATCAGTGAAGTCAGCCTGTGGAACTCATGGTTTTGTGTTTGTGGGTGCATTGTGAAGAGGGGCCCCAAAGTATCCCAGGTCAGTCAGGCTGGTCTGGGCTTTGCATCTGTGCCAGGTGTGACCACCTGGAGTTTTCCGTTCCATGTGGGCAGTTGGAGAGTTGCCACCTCAGCAAGCTGGCAGGAGATGGAGTGTCTGAGGCACCACTTGGATGTGCCACCAGTCAGAGAGTCCTGGAGACTGAGGGTAAAAGGAATCTCCTGCATTTCAAGAGCAGAAAATGAGAAGTCCTGCATCTGGACTTGGCCCTGGGTCATGCTGTGGCCTGAGAATCTGGAATGCTGCTTTGCTGAGCAGGACCCTGTGGGGCTGGTGGAGAACAAAGAGACCACAAGATCTCAATGAAGCTTTAGTTCAAAAGGCATCACCAGTGTCCAAGATAGATTTCAGACAATTCTTGCCATGAAGCTGGGAGAGGTGGCCCATCCTCTCTTTAGAGCACTAACTGGGTCCCATGTGGTGTGGTTTGGGCAGTTCTGGGCTCCCCAGTGGAAAATAATCATGGACTTAGAAACAAAACCAGTTTGTGGCCAACAAGATTCTAAAGGGGCTGGGAGATTGTTCACAGATGAGAATGAGGGATCTGTGACTCCCAGAGACAAGGATGGAGAGAAGATTGTCATCAGTGAGTGCAAATCCCTGATGGCAGGGAATGAAGATGAGGGATCACAGCTGTCCTCAGCATTGCACATGTGAAGGATAACAGGGCAACCACACAAGTGAAAACAGATGAAATTCCATGGGCAAGGAAGAGAAGCATGTTTTGGTGTGAGGGTGGTTGCAGAATGGAAAAGGTGTTGGGAGTCTGTGATGGGATATCCAGAACTGGAACTGCCCATGGTCCTGGAATTCCTGCGCTTGTTGGTCTGACTTGAGCAAAAGGGAATGAAGCACTTGCTCTCCAGTGTTCCTCCCAAAATGGATGATTTTGTGACTGTTTACTGGGAAGGTTTGAAGATCCAGCTGAGGAAGAGAGTTTGTTGAGTGTCTACTGGCATGTAGTAGCTTTTTCAGAGCCATGAGCAGGAGACCATTGGTGTGTCAAAGCCTTAGGTGTAGCAGGTGATGGGCTTGGGACACATTCTGGAAGGTCATGCTTCAACCCTGCTTCCTGTGCAATTCTTGTGATTACTGGTGGGAAGGTATGTCCTAAGAAAGTTGTTCTAGCCCTTTTCCCCCTATGCCAACAGCCTGTTAAGGCCTCACACTGTGCTGGGTGAGGACATGAGAAAATTTGAAATCAAAAAGAAGAGGAGACTTCTCAGGCTTTGATGCAAGAAACTTTATTGAGGTAAAAGACTAAAGAAAAAGGAGAAAATTATGTAAGGCATCTGGTGCAAGTTGCAAGTAGGGCGAACATCAGCCAAGTTGCTTTGCTTGCAGGAGCTGTTGACAGAGCACCAAGGTGGTGAACCAGTCCTTAGCAGATGTAGCCACCCCTTCTGCCATAGCAGCCCAGGCCTCCCAGCCCATAGCCAAATCCACGGCCATAGCCAAGGCCGTAGCCAAAGCCACCAAAGCCACCAAATCCGCCAGAGATGGGCTGTCCCTGCACACTGAGCTCAGTGCCCAGAGCAGCCGAGGAGGTGGATCCGACGGCGGTGTTCTGGGGGAAGGAGGTCATGATGGGTCCTGGCAGGGTGACCAGCACAGGGGAAGGGTCGATGATGACGCGGGAATCCTGGCATTGCAGGGCACAGGGCTCGTTGCAGCTGTTGGCCAGCGGGGTGGGTCCGCAGGGACTGCAGCTGTTGTAGCAGGCCATGGCTGTGGTGTGGAGGGTGCCTGGAAGAGAGAGGGGTGAGGCAGGACAGGGATGTGGGGGTGCAGGGGGTGGTGGAGTGTGGAGGCTGTTGTGGGGCTCTGGGAAGGCGTGAGGGCTGCTGAGGCTGGTCAGGGCTTGAGACTCACCTGGTAGTCTGCAGGAGCAGGAGGAGAAGGCTTGAGGAGAAGTGTGTGAGGGAGAGAGGCTCTGGGTTGGCTTTTATGCTGATCTTGGGTGGGTGGGACAGTCTTGTCCCATGGCCTTGGGGCATTTTGCAGGCCACAGCTCTTCCCTGGTGAGTCCTGAGGTGGGGAGTGTTTTCCTTCATGCAATTCTGCAGTTCTGTGTCCTTCCCTTGGGGCTGTGTCCATCTGACCTTGGTGGCTGCTTAAAGAGAGAGTTAGTATTTGGGAGGATGTGATTGTTTCATGTGTGTTAGGGAGGAATAAATAAATGACCAGAACCACAGAGAACTGCAATGTCATCAGGAATGGTAATTTTGTGGCTCTGATGTGCTGTGTGGTTTGTGGGTTCTTTCTGATGACTGGGCCCCTATTCTTTGCCACTGGGTGTCCATCAGTCATTGTGTTGCACCCAGGAATGCTGAGGGAGCTGCTGATGTCCTCAGAATGTCACTCTGCAAGAGTTTGGAAAGGTCCTCATACCTAGGAGCAGTTTCTGATAGATGAAAGGGAGCCCATCCCCTTGTGCCTTCAATGGGGTAAAGTGACAGCATCTGGAAAAGGAGAGGCTGTTCAGGCTGAACTTGTTCCATTTTTCAAGTCCATTTGGAATTCTTAACTTTACATGACAATGTACTCAGCCAATTAAAGTCTATGTCTTGACCTCATTCAGAAATAAAAAAAACCCAATCAGTAAACCTGGCCTGATCGCTTTTTCCCCCAGCTTGTTCTGTGACATGACTTCACCTGTTCCACATTCAAGGCATGATGTATAACTTGTAAGTCTTTATATTTTGTTCCTATGAGCAAAACAAACCCAATAATTACTAACTGATGCTCAGCAAACTCATTTTTCCTTTTCTGTCATGATGTAGTTATTTCTTTATGGAATTCTAGGATTCCATGCCCTGCTCTTGACTACTTTTCCTTCTCACCTTGGATGATGCTTTTAAGTGTGAGTGGGGATTTGGGAGGATGTGCATGGAAGGTTCATGTCAGGGAGGGCAGAGTACACAACCAAAGCATTGGAGCGCTGGGGTGTGATCAGCGAGGTCACTGCGTGACATTCCTGTGCTGTGGTTTGTGGATGTGTTTTGAAGAGGGGCCCCATTCCCTCCCAACCCTGCCAGGCTGCTTTGGAACTTGCAGCTGTGCTGGAGGTGCTGCCCCTTCCCTCACATTTCATCCCTCCCCACATTGATCCCATCTGACTAAGCCTGACGCTAAACCTGACCTTTCCTGTTGACTGTGCTCTGTGCGTGTCTTGGTGCTCCTCTTATTTTTAAGCTTTCAATATCTGGGGCATTTTGGATTTTTACGTGGGCTGTCTGCCAAAACATGAGGCCGCTTGTGATTGTCAGAAGGAGGATTTGGAGGCTGCCCAGGATTGTTGGAGGCAAGCATTGCATGATCCTCAAAAACAACCCAGGCAAGTCCAGGTTGTGTCAGTGCCCAACGTGGACATCTGAGAAAGGTCTGAAGGGCTGGACCCACAGGCTTGTGGTCAGAGTCCCAAAGTCCAGATGGCAGCAAGCCCCCAGTGCTGTAGGCCAGGTGTTGGATACATTGGGCCAACACAGAAAACCTGACAGGTGCTGGACATCTGATGGAGTTCTGCCAGGGCAGAATGGGGTTCTGTCAAGGGCTGTTTGTTGGGAGGAGTCAGCCCAGGTAAGAAGGAATGCCTGGGTATCAGTCAGAACAATTGTTTTCTTCTATGAAAAAGCCTTTGTTTCGTGGTTGTAGTTGCAAAGAAATGGAACAGCAGGTGTCCCTGTGTGGGAAAAGGGAACCCAAGTGTCCAGGTAAAGATTGGGAAAAGTGTATGACCAAGCAGAGAGAAGTGGTCTGTGTGCTCAGCACTGGTGAGGTCCCACATGAGGTGTTGTAGGCAGTCCTGGGCTCCCCAGTGTGAAAATGAAGTAGATTTAGTGAATCCAGACCAGTTCAGGACAGCAAGACCCCAAAAGGGTTGGAGAATCATTCCTAGAGGATAGTCTGAGAGAGCTGGGACTCACAGTGGACAAGGATGAATGGAGGGTGTCGTCAGTGTGTGCAAATCCCTGATGGCAGCAATGAAGTGAAGGAGCCCAGCTGTTCACAGCAGTGCTCACGTGCAGGGCTTGCTCACAGCAAGGGCATAAGTGAAAACAAATGGAATTCCCTGGGCAAAGTATACAAGAATATTTGATTGTGAGGGTGGCCACAGAGTGGAGAGGTGTTGGAGCGTCTGTCATGAGAGGTCAAATGCTGAACTGTCCATGGTGCTGGAAATCCTGCTCTTGCTGGCTCTGCCGGAGCAGGGGAGTTCAAGCACTTGCGCTCCAGATTTCCTGCCAGAGTGGTTGATGTAGTTCCTCAGTTTGCTGCAAGGGTTCAAGAGACCTGCTGGTAAGAATTTGACAAGTGTTCACTGGCATGGAAAGGCTTTACCAGAGCTGTACCCAGGAGAGCATTGATGTGTCCAAGGCTTTGGTGTATAATCTAAGACGTGTGTGGCAGATTGTGGAACGTGTTCCCTCCTCTGCTTCCCATGCAAGACTATTATTGGTTATTTTGACATATTTGTAAGGGAAGGTATTTTTAGTCCAATCCATGTACCCCAATGTCCTGCTGAGCTGTGGAATGTACTCAGTGAGGATGTCAGACCATTTGAATTAGAAAAGAATAGGAGGCATCTCAGGTTTCAACGCAGGAAAAGTTTATTGAGGCATAGGAATGAAGAGGCAGGAGAAAAAAGTGGAAGGGATCCAGTGTAAGATGCAAGTACAGCGACCATCAGCTAAGGAGACTGGCTTGCAGGAGTTTTTGCAGAGCCCCGAGCTGGTGGTCAGGGGTGGTGCTGAGATCCTTTAGCAGATGTAGCCGCCCCTTCTGCCATAGCAGCCCAGGCCTCCCAGCCCATAGCCAAATCCACGGCCATAGCCAAGGCCATAGCCAAAGCCACCAAATCCACCAGAGATGGGCTGTCCCTGGGCATTGAGCTCAGTGCCCACGGCAGCGGAGGAGGTGGATCCGACGGCGGTGTTCTGGGGGAAGGAGGTCATGATGGGTCCTGGCAGGGTGACCAGCACAGGGGAAGGGTTGATGATGACGCGGGAATCCTGGCATTGCAGGGCACAGGGCTCGTTGCAGCTGTTGGCCAGCGGGGTGGGTCCGCAGGGACTGCAGCGGTCGTAGCAGGCCATGGCTGTGGAGGGTGCCTGGAAGAGAAAAAGTGTGAGGCAGGGCCGGGGTGTGGGAGTGCACGAGGGGTGAAGTGTCAGCAGGGTGAGGGAGTGTGGAGGCTGTTGTGGGGCTGTGGGTAGGTGTGAGGGCTGCTGAGGCTGGAGCTGAGCTTGCTGGAAGAGGGGGGCCAGGGGTGCAGGAGCAGTAGGGTGAGAAGCTTGAGACTCACCTTGTTGTCTGCAGGAGCAGGAGGAGACGGCTTGAGGAGAAGTGTGTGAGGGAGAGAGGCTCTGGGCCGGCTTTTATGCTGGTCCTGGAGGGGCGGGACAGCCTTGGCCCCTCACCTTGGGGCATTTTTGAGGCAGCAGCTCTTGCCTGGCCGAGCCTAGTGAGTCATGAGGTGGGGAGTGTTTTCCTTCCTGATTTTCTGCCATTCTGTGTTCTTCCATCAAGTCTGTGTCCATTTGACTTTGACTGCATATTTCAATTGGGAGAAACCGAGGTCAATGGATTGGAGCTGGATTGTTTTGAATGTTGAAGAGGCAAACAAAGCCTACAGGAATTTGGGTGTTATTTCATGTCTTCACCTAATCCCCAGCCATTCTTTCTGTCCAAACCTACTTCTCTGCAGCCTGGGATATGGTTGTTGCTCTGGAGTGAAATTCCATAAATTAATTATTAGGTGGCCATGTACCCTTGGCTGTGAAAAGCTCCAGCAGTTACTTGGACAGGATTAGGAAAAGAAATACAAGCAGGTTTAGGGAGTTGAACGTCCTGTTCCACACCACTGTTGGGGCTTCTCACTAGAACAAGGCAATGGACATGGTTGGCCAAGAGACCATGACACTGGTGAGAGTGGAGGATCCTTAAGATGAGAAGCTGAGAGAGTTGGAATTTCTTTCAGGCAGGAGGCAAGAATGCAAATGGGACACGTTGTCAATATGCCATAGAATGACCTCAGCGGTGACACCCCAAATCTCCTAAGCTGTGGTTGAATCTTCTACGAGTCGTGACACTCACAATCAACAAGACCTTGGTCTCTAATTTTTGCAACTTAAACCTACCAGCAAGGTCAGATGGAGATGGCCTCAGGAGCAGAACATGGAATTGCACAATTCCACAGAGGAACAACTGCTCAATGACACAAAAGGAAAGAGAAGCTTACTGGCTGTCCGTTAGTAATTATTGGGTTTTGCTCATAGGAACAACACATTAAGACTTGCTAATTATAAGTTATGAAAACATGTGGCTTGAATGCGGAAAAAAGGAATTGATGTCACAGAGCAGCCTGGGAAAAAAAGGATCGGGCCCCGTTTGTTGTTTATTGGATTCCTGAATGAGGTCAAGAAATGCACTTGAAATGACAGAGTATATTGTTGTGTAAATTGTGTAAATTTCAAAATACAAGTAGAATGGAACATGTTCGACCCGTAATTGTGTCTTCTTTCCCAGATCCTCTTTCTTGATATCACTGAAAACACGGAATGGAGGAGCTTTCTTTCCTCTAGCATGAAGGGCTCTCAGGCACAGTGACCTTTCCAAGTCATTGCAGAGTGACCTACTCAGGACATCAGCAGCTCCCTCAGCATTCCTGGGTGCAACACAATGACTGATGGACATGCAGTGGCACAGAACAGAGTCCCAGTCTTCCCAAGGCACCCACAAACCAAAGAATGCAATTGCCTCAAAATGACCTCACTGGTGACGTTGCACCTTTCCTCGGTGCTGGCTGTTTATTCACCCCTCCCTGACACATGTGGAACAGTCAAATACTCCCAAAAAGCAACTCCCAATTTGAAGCTGCTGCCAAGGTCAGATGGACAAAGCCTCAAGAGCAGGACATGAAATTGTAGGAGGGATGAAGAAGAACACTCCCTCATGACTCACTAGACTGGGCCAGGCAAGAGATGCTGCCTCAAAA